CTCTCAGGCTGAGAAACCCTCCTTTGCACAGACAGGCTGTGCTGACAGGGATGGGCACAGCTTCGGAGAAATTAATTTCTTGTCCACCAGCAAATGAATGCTAGGCATGGTAACCAATGTTGTTCTTCCTTTGTCACCACCAGCCATCAAACCTCAGCTGCATCACCTCAGGAGGCCCAGTCACAGCTCAGGAGACTCTTTGTTAGCCCTCCACAAGAAATCAGAGGAACATCCAGTGAGATTTAAGCTGCTTGACCAGCGGGGAAGGATGAAGAAGATACAAAATATTTCCCAGAACTGGAATAGGAAATAGCATAAAAGGCATCTTCTGGAATGACACTCCTCACCTGGGGATGGAGGACTTTGTGTAACCATTGCACAAGCCATACTGCATTGTACAGAAGCTGCAATTCTAGATAAAAGCAAGTGTATGATTTAGCTAAACTATATAATGGACATTTTGCTAGAAATATTCTCAATAGCCTTCTTATTATTGCAGCATGTGCCCACTTATTACTAAAATATTGGCTGTTATCTTAAAAGAAGTAATTGCATATCACTATCTCCTGACAAATTAAGAAAGCTTTCCTACATTGTTGGGCTCCTTATGGTGTTCTCAGTGTGACCTTCTGCCTACCACAGGTAAGACAGCAATTCCTATTTCACGGAGAACATGAAAGATTTTTTTTGCTGAGCTGTACTGAGAATAAATGTCCTCCTGTCATAGTGAGATAGGCGTTCAGGAGGCTGGAGTACAGGGAGTCCTCTTGTTTCACTCATTGGAAAAGAAGGCATAGCACAGCATTAAAGTTGTGCTTTGCAGGAACTCTGCTGAATGTTAAATGACGCTGATTGCCTTTTGTGGCTTTAACTTAGTTGAGTTTGATGCCATGTGTTCTTTTAGTGCACCAGTGTCCCGTGGGCCTGAGTCTCACTGCTGAACATGCCCTCCCTTCCCCCCAGATAAAAGATCCTTTTGTTCCCAGATTTTACAGTGTGAGAAAGAGTGGCCAATAACTCTGCCCTCTTTATCCAGGCCCCTGGTGATTTGTGGACCACCTCAGCTCTCCCTTTCCAGGCCAGTGAAATCTGTCCTTTTTGTACTCTCCTCACAAGCAAACCTACTCTACCTTTTATCATCCTTGCTGCTCTTTTCTGTATCTTCTTTCTTAAACCTCTTTTTGAAAGGAGAGGATGAACAGTGCATGCAGTACTCAAAACAAAAGTATACCAGAAATTTATAAAATAATGTAATGACACTTTCTGTTTCATCTTCTATGCCTTTCTGAATAGTTTTTAAGGTTGTACTTTCCTTTTCTAATCTCCTTGGGCACTAAGTAGTAGTTTCTGTAGAATTACCTGTAATATATCCTAGTTAATTTATAGCCCACACAGAGGAGGTTGAAGAGTTGGAGTGGCCTCTCCCTGTATGCATTGTTCTGTAATTACCTATACTCAATATGTGGTTTTGCCAATTATACTGAAGTAATCTTACATCCTTCATTTCTGTTCCCTGTTTGCTGCCTTCTTCCATCTACACCTTTTCCAAATCACATCTTCTGGATAAGCATGTTGAATAGCAGAGAAGACAATCCTCCTTTACTATGAATGCCATTTCATCCCAGTCTATTTTTTTTTTTTGATTTCCCACATTGTTAAACAGTTATTTGCACATCTTAAGATCATATGTTATGGTCTTGTTTCAACCCGTGACAGCTCAATAGCTTTGACAGCAGGATCTTGTCAAAATGGAGAACTGCAAATCATTACTGGCTCCTCCACGGAAGTCTCAAGGATTTGTGAGGCAAAATTTCTTCCATAGAAACTAGCCTGACCCCTCTCTGCTATTCTATTATTTTTTTATATTTTGTAAGAGTTCACTTACTGTGAAGTCACTTTCTCTTACACGCTACAGGTTTGTAACTATGTCCAACATCAAATCTGCACCAGCTGGTGTATGTAGCACTGCTGTGTGACACTCACATTAAAATCATGGCTGGTTGTTGCGTGCAAAGACTGGGGTGTTTTCCCAGTGTCACGCCTGCCCCCGGGTCCCCAGAGAGGATTACTGCAAATGTGGGTGCACTCACCCTGAGATCTCACAGAATCACAGAATCACAGAATCGTAGTGGTTGGAAGGGACCTCAGACATCCATCATCGAGTCCAACCACAAAAAAAAACAAACAAAAAACCTTTCCACAGTGTTTTGCTTGACAGCTCCACTGCCCGAGTGCTCTGACGTCACCTTGTTTCAGTTATTTTCATCTGTTTTACCCTGTGCTTCATGTTTCTGGCATTGACCTTGACCACCATCAGAACTTGTGACTCCAGCAGCTGGGCTGGGTCACTGCCTAAACTAATGCAAAGAGGAATGCACTTTAAAGCCTCCTGCTTATGAAAAGTGATTCATCTCCAGGAATTCCTTGAGACATGTATTTTGCTTGTAGAATACCCTGAAAGATTTTACACAAATAGGCTGTATAGAAACGCAAAATTATACTATCCTTCCAAACACTTTTTCTGTGTCATTTCCTTCCTTGTAGGACACCTGTGGTTTACACTTTACCTAACAGAATCCTACCCGACCAGTCTCTGGACAAGTGGACAGCAGTGGGTCACTTGCAGAAGTTAAAAGGGCAACCTCTTTTTTTTTTGCCTTCCATTATTACTGACAGTTTATTTGGATTACTGTTTTTGTTTCACTAGCATCTCACAAAGGGAGGAATTTTTGTCTTTGTTCTTGTCTGGTTTTGGTCCACACTCTCTCCTGTGCCATAAATCTGACATAAGTTTCCATATTGAATTTACTGCTGTGTAGTCAAGGCACAGGGAATGAGATGCCCTGCCTGAGGTGTCATGGGGACTTTTTATGGATCTTAAAAATTTGATGTTGTTCTGATCAAGTTCCTTTTTGCTCTCACGCTTCTCCAGACAAATCCATCCTCTGCCAAGTTTCTGTCTATTAGAGTCCCTTCTAGAAAGTGTCTGTTCACCCAAGTGGTTTAGAGGGGTTTTATTTTTTATTTTTCCTGAAGCTGGGGAAGGTGAAGAATGCTGGCAGATACTCATTGGTAATGCAAAGGTATCTGAGGATGTCTCTTCCCTCTTCCAAAGCCTCAGGCTTTGACCTAAATGAAATACTGCAAAGTGCTGGGGGAGAGGATATTTGTGCAGATTGCTCCTTGTAAATGTTGGGTGCTTCACAAAAATAATTCCTAAGCAAAACTGGTTGTGCTGATGTCATCCGGACTGATGCGCAGAGCTGTGTGGTGGAGTGGATGGGCTCATCCTCTCAGTCCAACCCTGACACGTAGTGTACACCAAAGGGAAATTTTCAAAGTGTGAAGTTCAAGAATGAACTATGAAATAACTGTGTTATTTGGGGAAGGTCTGGCTTTGCAATGCTCTCAACCTTTTTCTGCACTTATGATTTCTAAAATAACCACTTGCTGCCAGCATAGAAATAAGTCTGAGTGATCTGTTCTTCTTGGAAAGTCTTATGATCTCACACTTATGATGTTATTTAGACTTGTTATGACTCATTGTAACTATCAATGCTTGCAATTTTAGCCTTTTTTCTCTTTATCTATTTGTGAACTGCATCTTTGGTCTAATCACAGAATCACTTTGCTACGGCAAGTTTGGTGCTCTGTTTTTTGAGAGGGATTTGTTTGTTTACTTTTTAAAAAAGGATTGAAGTCTAATTTAAAAATCTGAATGTTAAAAATCCACAGTGAGTGAGGCATAGAGAGACTCGAGTCACTCCTTATATTTTATGCATTTGTGTGTCCAAACAAAGAGGGATTGGAAAGGAAGATTGTCTCTAATGTCTTCAAGGGCAGCCAGAGCAGAGATGGAGGAGAAAGGGAGGAGCAGGGAGGAGTTGTGGCTCAGCGGCTTAAATGGGCCTTTCTAATTCTTTAGATCATGAGGTAGACAGTTGGGTTCTTGACTGTCCACATCCCCACCTCCTTTCTCCTTCTTGATTAGGGCTGCTGTTCACTTCTGTTGCTCAGGTGTCTGGCCAGCACAAGTCCTTCTGGCTGATCCCTCACTATCCTGTTGCATGTACTCCTCCCTTTATCCCAAACTTCTGATCTCTCACAGATCTGCTAAGCATCCTTGGGCAGCTGCCTTGGTAAGGATCCTGGGCTGTAGTCACAGAATCGCTGAGGCTGAATGGGACCTCTGGAATTGGCGAGTCTAAATAGGTGCCACTGGAGCAGGTTACTCAAGGCTGTGTCCAGCCTGGTTTTGAAAATCTTCTAGGATGGAGAGTCCACAATCTCTCTGGGCTATCTGTGCCAGTGTTCAGTAGCAAAAATGTGTTTCCTTACTTGTAAATGGCATGTCATGTGTTTCATTTTGTGCTCAATGCCTCTTGTCCTGTCAGTGGGTATGACTGGGAAAAGCCTGGGTCCCTCCCATCAGACATTTATATACATTAATCAGATCCCTCAAAGCTTTCTCTTCTCCAGGCTAAACAGAATATAGAAAGCCAAACCTGGGATAGGTATAATTTTGTCTCAGACCGTAAGACCACCTGGTGGCCTAAAACCTACTTTGAAGTTTGGAAAAGACTTGACCGAATGGAAAAATCCAAAGCTTATGGCAATGTGTCTCATGGCTATTAATACAGAGTTTGCATTTTACAGGATCATCGCATCTGTAAGAATAAGCACAAATGGCCCTTCAAAAGCCATTCTTTTATTTCTGGAATGCGTTTTCTGATTTTGCTGCTGCTTGCTTGTCTATCCAGTCCATGTCTTTTCAGGATTCTTCAGGATGGATTAAGCTTCTCGTCAGAGCTCCTGAGTCCAACAGACTGACACGTGTTCCTCCAGCAGGACCAAAAGCCAGTATCATGGAGTAGAAACTGGCTTTTAATGTTCACGCTTTCAATTCCTAGAACTACATTTCCAGAATACTGGTATTTCTGTTTGCATCACCTCACTCTAACAGCTCATGGCTTTTGGGGGATGTAAGGAATAGAATAATATGTGTTTATGAACGTATCTTAATACAAGTGAGAAGCCGAAATTTCTAATGTGCTTCACTGATGTGCATTTTCGATTTTTGTTGTAGATGCAATTGCTGGGCTATCTCTCCGTATACAAGAATATTGTAAAGTCATGCATACAAAATTTAATCTCAAGTATCTAAACACATCTATTAATTTAAGTGGTAAAAGCATTGTACAGTTATCAATTTATTAACCAGTAAGAAAAAATTTCAACCAGACAAAATTTCAGCGTAAGTATTGCTAAACTCAATGCAAGCAAATGCTGCCTTGTCTGTGAATATAGTGCGAGTTAGTGAAAGCATCATGAATGTTGCTTTGGATTTGTTTCTGCTGTTGTTCAGCTGGGCAAATCTGTTAACCTATGGACCTCATGTTTAGCTCTACAAAAATGCTCATAATATCCCCTTTAGACGGGTGACGGGCTTAGCTGAAAGTTGTTAAAGCACAAGGCCGTTAGATGTCACGGTCACAAGTCTGTTGTAAATGAAGACTTGTCTCTTCATTTCTAAGTAGAGGTGAATTGAAGATTAGCAAAGTGGATACTGACTGAAGCCCTTCATTCTCCCCAAGGCCTCGGCCTGGTTGTCCTGCCCACTGCAGACCTCTGGGGTGAGATGCAGTTCCAGGTAAATATCTGAATGCAAGCTGGCTCCTGAGGCCCTGGGGCAGTCAATGCCTATGTGCAGAAAATGGAAGGGACTTCAGTCTGGAGCATCCCCGTCCTAACAGCGCTGTGGAAAGGCTTAATCTGTGTGTGCTTTCCCTTTCCTTCTGTTTTGGCTGCAGTGGCCATGGGGGACCTTCAGGGACACTGGGTAGAAAAGCATTTCTGCCCCAGAACACACCAACTCCAGCCATTTGCCCAGGAGAGCAATTTGCAGTTTTAGCATTGTCTGGTCTCAAAGGGAGAGTTTAGGGCCTGATTGAGAGTAAATAAATGCCATAAACCAGGTCCACTCTGTGGTGCAGTCCACACATTGTTCTGCAACACCTAAAGGCTTTGTTTTAGGGGAAGAGGCAGCGTTTTTCTGATGTGAAAACAAAGAATATCTTACTCCCAAATAAAGTATCATTTAACACTTTCACTGAGTGCAATGAGGCAGGTGAAAGCTTTGATTCATCGCACTGCTTCCCAGGAACATTGCAAAAACTCCGATTTACTTAATTGATCAAGTGAAAAATTACTTTTTAGTCGCTCATGTTGCTCCTGGGTGGAAAAACAGTAAATGCTGAATTACCAGGCTATGAATATGCAATTTTAAATGAACTGCAGGAAATGATGTATGTTGTGGCATTTTTATGGCTGGGCTTCAAGTTGATCTATACAGGGATGGTAAATTAGGCTGCTGTGCTGTCAGAGATGTCACTGGGACCGCAGCTCCTCTTTGGCGAAGAACATACAGTGCTAGGCTTAAAGGATGCGCTTTTATTTGGTTGTTTTTTTTTTTTTTTTTTTTGTATTAAACTGGATCAGCATTCCCCAGGCTTGGAAAAAAATGCTCTTCAGAGCACTGAAGTCAGTCACATCCTATTTGTGCTTCCGCCTTGTGTTGTCAAGGGCCTTCATGTCCAAATATGTACATTTTCATAGCTAATCCATTGCTGATGGTCATTTGAACCTTTTCAGGGGTCCGCAGTCTCACTCTTGCTGTATTGTGCACTGAAAATATTCACCAACTTCACTGATAAAGCTAGACTTGAATCACACATATTTCTTGTCACATTTCTTGCCGTGATAGACTTTACTGTGTACCTTACATGAACTACTGATTACTTTTATTTTAAATATTGTCTCATCTCACTGACAGATTAACAAGATTTTTAAAAGTACACCTGCTAGGTATCAGACATCCCATTAATGGCCTCTTGAACACTTCAATACTTTATTATTTATTATAAGCTAGTTGATTACATCTTAAAGCTGAATATCTGCAAATTGGCTGCATTCTCATGAGAGATGCTGGGTCAGTCACTGTGGCAAATGAAGTCCAAACTAGTGTGCTCCTCAGCTGCCTGCCTAAGAGTGTTAGAAAGATAACTAAATTCCGTCTGCCAGGCTAGATAATCTTTAACCTCTCTGCTGAGGTCCCTAAGGGTCCAGCCAGCAGTGCTGCTCTGTCTAGCGAATGGAACTATTAAGGTAAGCACAAAACTACCCTGTTCTGCTTATTTTGTATAGTATTCTATAGGTACCCATCTCTGTTTATACAAATGCTGAAGGCTGTAGCTGACTGTGAAAACTCTTCTTGACTGAATCAACGAGGTGAACTATTAAAGAAAAAAAAACATGGTGCTGTTCCATTGTGCAGTATGCATATGCCATGGAGTAATGCTATTCCTTTTACTCAATTTTTACTCTTCTCTTGTGATTTTTAATCTTTACAACCCCTCCTAACTGACAATCTAGGGTTCCAAAAAGCAGATATAAAAAGAAAAAATATGGAGTAAAAATATCAACTATCCAATTAGTTTATCTTTCACTAACCTAGGAATAAAACCCTTGAAAGGGAAAAAACAATAAATCCATAAATCCTTTGTCTACCCTGGTGTAACAGTCAGCCACTGCACTTCCCATATATTTCTCTTCTTAGACCTCTGCTCTCAGTCCTCTTTGATGTGTGTGTTGATAGCCCTTAGCTGTAAGTTTTTATACTGCACTAGATCTGCCTTTTTTCTCCTCACAAATACAGGTCCTGAGCAGATGAGGAAGAAGAAGTGTTTGCTTTGCATTTCAGGGACTCTAGAGTGGAATCCTACCTTCCCACTCTCTCTGTCTGTCCCACTTGGGAATTTGCACTGTGGGCAGTGTTACTCCAGCAGAGGAAAGCTGGACAAATGAGGTGAATTGTCAGGAGAACAATGCAATTTGAATTATTAGTTGATGTTTTACAGCCTTGTGCTACCAAATGCTCTGGTAGCTAGAGCGAGGTGCAGTGGCTTGGTTGTGTCCTTTGTGTTACCCATTCTCACCATGCTCACAAAGCTAGATCTGATCTGAGTTGGGTTCCTCATGACAAAGATCCTGGAAAGCGGCTTTTAGTCAAGAAAGAGAATCCTTCCAATTCCACATGTAAGTGAAATTCCTGTCATCATCTTCTGTGGTGCTTGCTGGGATTTTATGAAATGTGGATAAGCACTTGAGAATTTAAATTCAAGTGCATGCTTGAGAAAATCATTGTTTATAGAAATGAAAGGACTGGTTTTATTATGTGCTGCCACTTTGAATGACCCAGAATTATTTACACTGCATTACTGGAAATATCATTGTAATCTTAACTGGGGATTGTGTCTCCATCCTTTTCTTCATCTTCCATAATCACCGTTTGCTTTTCTTCTGTAAGCAGCTTAGCGCCTTAAAATCACACACCAAAAAAAAAAAAGGGGGGGGGGGG